AGTAAAGGTTCCTGTGGCCAGGATTCCCACCTGGCCCTGGTTGGCTAGCTCCCTGCACACGTGTGGGCAATATGTTGCTATTGACTCTAAAGAGCTCACCCAGTGCTCTAGATGACACGGTGGCACAACTGCAAGGCTGCAGGACAGAGGCTGGAGTGGTGGCATCGCCCAGGACAGAGCCTGAGACAGCTGCGGGGGCAGAGAGGCCCAGAGGCAGAGACCAGCTTGCTGCATGAGACTCGCTCTGAGGGGATGGGATTCCAGTGCTTGACCTGCCACTGTGGCACCTCAGGAATATTCCATTGTCATTTCACAGTCTCATTGAATCCATAGTGAACTTGCCTGGGGCTGAAACCTATTGGCAAGACACTGGCTTTACTCCCCCAGCAGTAGGTCAAGTACTAGAATCACATCTGCATCCAGCAGTCTGCACATCTGTAATCCTCCTCCATCTCTGCGTGGAACTGCATCCCCTTCTTTCAAGCCTTGAATGTGTGGCGGAAAATGGAAGTTCCTCTGGCCGGGATCCTCACCTGACCCTGCACTGCTTGATGATGTAACTGGCCTGCAGCTAGGCTGCTGCTTCCACACCCACAGGCAAGGAGCTGTTACTGACGGAGTCACTATATAAAGAGCTCTGCCCAGTGCCCTGGGTGGAGGCAGAGACAGAGGAGGATTAACGGGCATGCAGGCTGCTGGATGCAGACGTGATTCTAGTGCTCGACCTAATGCGAGAGGAATAAAGCCAGGTATAAACCCTTTTACCCCAAGAATGTTCCATTGTCATTTCTCAGTCTCACTGAATTCCATATGAACTTCCCAGGGCCTGAAACCCTCACGCAAGACACCCCCTCAGATGACTTGAATCAAAATCTGTGTTTTTACAAGCTCACTAGGTGGCTCTGATGCTCACTTACTTAAAATCTGAGACTCGTTGATCTAGGCCAGTGGTCCTCAAACTTCCTCAAACAAAGAGGACTTTGTTTATGGAATGAAGAGGTTTGGGAGTCAATTAGTGATGGTGTTTGGTGGATCTGGTTCAAGTGTGTGGCTCTGGTTGAAGTTTTCCTGGGTGCCCCTGGGTAGAGGTCCTTGTTAAGTCCCTTGGCTCAGCTGAGCTCAGTTTACACATCAGGAATTGAGGTCCAGCCCCTTTTTGACAAGTGGGCAGCTGAGCTCTGAGAAACGAAGGGATTTAAGTTTGCTCAGATGATATTGCAAATGAGGATTTAGAAACTCACTCGGAGACTAGGGCTTTTATAGATCAGACAAATTAATGCATTATCATTAATTCTACAAAAGAACTTACCAAAGTTTTTACCTAAGTGTTATGCTTGAGATAACTTTAGAAAGTGAGTTTTAAAATTTTAGGAACACATATCCCATAAAATGAAATACTCCAGGATACTGATTTTTTTTAAAGTCTCAAAAGGAAAACTTCAATTTAAAACCTACTTATTAAATAAGTCAAAAGTAAGTAGGCTATCTCTCCAGTTGATTAAAGATCTTTGATTTTATATTTTTATTCATAGTGCACCAAAATAGATTATGGAAGTATCCACAGTGTGTAGTTTGGCTTAGATGTGGTCTGAAGTTCTTATTTCATGGGTTCAATGTACTATATATGATGAAAGTACTTATTAAGTATGGCATGTGATTCCATGTTGCAAGTGACCATTAAGAGCTGGTTTATGCTTTGTGGCAACTCGGCACATCTAGAATACTCTGTATGGCTGAAGGGTAATGGTACCTATTCCATTCTATAGGAATTAGCTGTCTGACATCTGTTTTGAACCCCTAGTGTGTGGTAGAATTATGTTTTTTCAAGGCATTACAGCTGAGGGCATAATAAATCCTTGATGAGAATTTCATGTTTCTAAACACTGGGATACAACTTGGTTTATATGCCCCAGTGAGGTTTTTTCTTTATTTTCGCTTTTTTAGTAAAAGGCAGCTGTTGGGCTTTCATAGACTTTATGTTCAGCCATGAGAATCATGACTTGACTCAACTTCCTTGAACTCCAAATCCCAGAGTGGCAAATGCAGTGAATATACTTGACTTGCTCCTTGTCCCACGTGAGTTGGCTTATTGTTAAACCCCCAACCCCCCTATAACAGAAAAGCAACAACTTAAACCTCCAAGAAAACCTTAGAGTTGTTTAGCAACTTACTTATTCCGCCACACCAGTCCTTCCAGCCCCTGCGGCATTGTGTTCAAGTTCATGTGGCTGAGCTTGTGGCCCTGTGGGCTCCCCTCCTGCCCGGGGGCTCCTTTCTCTGCAGACCACTTCAGGTCAGCTGATACAGAGGTCACCTGGCTTAATTACTTGGGTGGCATATGGAATCTCAAGGAACAATAGCCTCAGACCAGCCCAGTGCTGGTTAAGTGACTGTCCCAAGCTTTCTTGTGATGGCTTCGTGGATGCAGGAGAATTGAGATTAAGGGTTGGCACCATTAGGTGAAGTGCCAGGAACTTCAGTCGATAAATAATTGTGGTTGAAGAGTGAGTAGTGTCATTATGGAGACAAGTGATTTGTGCAGCGGTGCCCATGTTTTCTTGATCCACAGTACCCAAGTGTCTCAGTAATTCCTTTGCAAACTCCTAGGCCAAAAGTAAGCTGAATGGTTTCTAACTATTAAGTAGTTAAGCTCAAACCTAACAATTAGTTATGTCCTAACAATTTAGCAGACACTTGAAACAATAATGCACATAAATGGAAAAAAAGATTACTTTTCTTTCATTCTTAACCACCATCACTCACCAATAGGTGCACCTGTTGTGCACTGCCATTTCTTGAGCCTTGGAGTAAGAGCAGGTGCTGCCTCCCTCATTTTCTATTCTATGATGTTTTTTCCACAGAGTATTAGCTTTTTATCGCAGCAGCCATGAAAACTCAGCTTCACAATGGTATATCATATAAAGGAATGTCGCATGATCTAATATTGCAACTAGGAGCTACTGTCAGCTAGTATTTTGTGCCACCACCTGACATGTTGCTGTATTTCCCTTGAAAATTTATGAGTTCCACTGCAGGACCCCAGGGCACTTACATACTCTGTTTGGGAACCCTAGGTTGGATGACGTATAGTTCTCAGAAGTGTCCAATTTTCTTCTTCCAACAATTGAGTTTTGCAGGTGGGGTAGGAGAGAACATTTGTTTCTCACTTGCTATTTAACGATTTCACGTGAATATGTTACATCCATTTCATGAGTTGGGTGGTTCTTATTTCCCCCCATTTCATTGGTTCTCATGGAATTTCTCTGTGTAAATTGTATGGGGCACAGAAGAAGGTCATGCCCAGCTCAGTTGGTTAACCTTGAATCCTACATTGTTTTCTCCATATGGTATTTGATACTAGCTTCCAGTAGTTTCATGCAAGGCTACATTAAAGTAAGCCTCGCTTCTGCTACCAGGAAGAAGGTGATTCTGTTCTGGTCTGCTCTCAGCCGTCTGAAAGATCATACTTGGAAGCTATTTGTAAGTTCTGAAACGTGCCTAGTAATTGGCACTGCTTAGCCAGCAGAAACTGAACTTTAGAAAGGCAGGATATGACAGGTGTCTTCCTATTTCAGCCTTCCTAATACTGGAAAGAAGAGTTCTATTTGTTTTAGTCCAACCCACCGGACAGAATTAGTGCTTTTAAGTATGCTTATCAATAACAAAAAAGGAATAATCACAATTTTTAGTGGTTGTAATTGCCCCAGGAGGCAGTAAATCTCCATCATTGAAAATCCCTGTGAAAATGATAGAAGAGATGGAATCATATAACACAGCTCCCAAAGGCCTCTCAGCCCTTACATTCCATTTTTGTAACTTGCTAATTTTCATTTCTTTGGAACTAAACAGTGTCTTACAGAGTACCTTTGCTTTAAATTAAGCTTGCTGTCTCACCAAAAACATTTCTTTCCAGGTTGGTAACATTAATTATAAGGTAAAAATACAAGTTTTCTGTTGGAAACAAGTATTTTTTGTGGGTTGGAGGCCATATGAGAGGTTATAGTTCTACTGAAAAAGTCCTGGAGTGTCCATTCAAGAGTATGAGCCCGGCACCTACATGGGTGCAGCCAGTATGGCTCTGGGAAAGCCAGAAAGGCCTTTATCTGTGGGTGTGGGTGTGTTAGTCACTAAAATTTTACCTGTGAAATTCCCAAATCAAGTATCAGCTCGCCAATTAAGAATTTAAAATACATCAGTTCTGACGTACTAGTAGTCTTATCACGTTGTTGTATCATCTGGTCTAAGACAAAACAAACACCTCATTGTGGTTAAAGTTGCTGTGCTTTAGACCCCGTGGACTTATACTGAAAAATGACCCCCTTCCTATGATTCCTCGTGGAGCAGCCTCTTAGGTCAGTGCCACCTGATGGTCTCCTTCACCTGCGCTTCTGCACAGCCTCAGTAGACCTGCTACCCCATGACGCCCTTCTGAAACCCTCTGCCTTGGCCGCCCTTCAAACACTGTCTCCATCCCTGAGGTGGAAATGGAGACGTCTTTCTTCTTTCTTCTTACTCAAGTCCTCTCTCTGCACTTCTCAATCACTGCCTTTCTGTGAAGGCAGATTTTATAGAAAATTCCCTTGCCAGCCCTTAGTTGCGTGTGATGTACAGCAAAGCAAAAATGGGGTCTGCTAGCTTTCTGATTTATTTGGAAGGCATTTCCTAAGACCTCTGTACTTAGCCTGACTGGCTTTATCATTTGGGGATGGGGGGGCAAGGGTGCCCCCAAGGAGCTTGCATGCATGGCTCCCACTGAGTGGAGTGATTCAAATGGGCTGTGCTTTACGTTAGTTTTGAGTTGTGTATTTTATCTTTGAAGTTGGCAAATACTTGAAAGCCACAAGCTACTGTTTTCTGCAAGCTTCTTTGCACATGAGCATAGTATGTATGTATTGAATTTGGAAATTATCCAATAACTGCCCTTCTAATGCAGCTAATGTAGACAACAGCTGTTTCCTCTGGAAGGACCTGTATAGTGATAGGTTCTTTCTTTCTTACAGGGTGTCGCCTCTGCAGAAGTCTGAGATAGTAGATGTTGTTAAGAAGCGGGTGAAGGCCATCACCCTTGCCATCGGGGACGGTGCGAATGACGTCGGGATGATCCAGACTGCCCACGTGGGTGTGGGCATCAGTGGGAACGAAGGCATGCAGGCGACCAACAACTCAGACTATGCCATCGCACAGGTCAGAGGCATAACTGACCAGCTGACCCATCCTGTTGACAGAGATGTCAGCTGGGCATGAAGGCCTGGTTGGCATTTGACCACCTTCAGTGCAGCCGGAAGAACTCTGCCACCCCTCTGAGGTTGCCCTCTAGATAAAACCACCAGTGTATTTGGATTGATCTGTGTTCTTGATCTCATGTAGCTCAGAGGCCCTGTCCTGTGGGTCGGGTTTCTTTTGGCCAGCTGTGGGGTTGGCCGAGCTGTCTGTCCTCCAAACGAGGTACCATTCCTGACAGACAGGTCTCTGATCCTGCTGATAATCTCTTACACGGGCATGTCTCCTGTGCTGTCCCTGACACCATCCTGTGTCGAAGCTGTGCTCATAACATCCGTCCTCGATTTCCCCATCCTGGTATCTCCCCCCTTTCAGAAGGTGCTGGAACTCTCTATCAGGCATGTAAGGTCAGGAAGAGCAGTGACTGACAGGTGCCCCCTCTCTGAAGCTGTAACCAGGGCACTGCCCAGGGCCACTTCTGCAAGATGAATTGCTGGGACCATGACCCGGATTGGATGGCAGTTACCCTCTGGTCAGTAGCAAACAGCCCGCAGCAGGCAGGCCAAGTTCAGCGCATCCTCTCTGGACTGAAGGTTGCATGTGGAGGCCCCTCAGACACTTTGTAATTACTGTGCAGGTGGCCCAGGATGAAAGCGATGTTTACTTTTTAATGACAGCCAAAAAAATGAAGGAAAATAGCTAACTTCCTGACCCCCAGGGTACATTCTAGATCATTTGGCCTGCTTGGTCTTCCAGAAAAATCCAGACGTCTCAGTGAACACAGATGGCATTCTGCCGTCTCACAATTGCCGCGTGGGTGTGATTTGAGTCCTGCTCATTTGCTGGTTAGCTATGTTCTCTATTCCTCTGGTGTTTAGCCCTTTCAAGAATGCGTTAACTATAACCACATGAATACAAGTAACAGTGGCTTTTTCTCCCTCAAGCTGAAATGAGGGGCTGCAAATAGAGCATTAAAGAGCTTCCAGCAGCCCTAGGGCTTCAGGCTGGTCCTCTGCAGCTTTGGGACCCCACCTCCCCCTGCGGAGGTTCTGCATTAGATCATCTCTCAGTTTCCCTCCCAGCTCATGGTTCAGCAAGTTAAAGGAGGAATCACAAAAGCCTCATAGCTCTGAAAAGTACATGAAATCAGTCTTCTCCCTTTGTTGATCTTGAATAAATCCTCAAGATAATTACTGAAGTAGGTAGGAGGAAGAATTCCGATTTTATAGGTGGGATAACAGGCTCGTCCACATTAGGGGACCTGCTGCAGGTCTGAGCAGCCAGGGCAGAAAAGACCAGACCTGCATGTGACCCTGGGGACCAGGCCTGCACACCTGCCCATTTACTTCCCTGAGTGGCTCCTCCCCAGCCTGTGGGACTCGGGCTTCCTGTAGTCTGTCAGCAGCTGTAGATGTTCTGTACCCCAGCATTATTAAATACTTGAGTTACGGCATCATATGGCTGCAAGGGATCTTCAGAGGTTTCCTAGGAGTTGCAGGCAAATATTTGTCTGTCTTTTGCTGTAAAATGTCTAGGGAAGGGAGATTCCACGACCTGCTTTATTGAACTACATTCTAATGGGATGTGGAGTCTGGAGCAATTGCTGCCTTCCCATTAAAAGCATCAAAGAAGGGTGGAGAGAGGAGCAGGGCTTCCTAACTCCATTCAGGCGTTTTCTCGCTCCACCAGCATAATAGTCACCTCAGCCAGAGGAACCTGTGCATGGCACTTGGGCCTGTTCAGGGTCAGGCACAGATCCTGCTTTTTCAGGGTAGCGCTGGCCCTGTCCCCACCCCCTGCCCCAACGGGAGCTAAGCTGCTGTGCCAACAGCCTAGCTAACGGTATGCTTCCTCGCCCATGATTAGTAGCCAGGAAGTCCTGCAACTGGATGAATTCCTTTGCCCCAATGAAATGATAAATGTCTTTGGCTAAAGTTAACACCTTGTGCTTTACCTGTTTATCTTACCATGGGTGAATACATTTTTTATTGCGTTTTGAGAAAGTGCCCTGCAGGATTATGTATAGAAGAAAAAAAGTGGAGCTCAAAGACTTGTCCTTGGGAGACTTAGGAAGTCGTCAGAGCTCCGGTTCCATGTCTTTCCTGCCTGCCTGTGCTTTTGCCCACAGGAGCAACCCCCCCAGGACTGACACCTCTCCCCCCTGGCCTGCTGCCCTGCCCTTGGGAAGCCCCGGCAGCATTGTGCTTCCAGCCCTCAGCTGCCTGTCCCTCTCAGGAGAGAATCATTCCTGCCCCCTACCTGCTTGTTTTTTCAACGACCTCATGAAAACAGCATTTTGATTTAGGATTATTTTTTTTTTCTGCAACGCACCCCTTGTAGCGCTGAAGTCCAGGCGCTCAGGATGACTCCCGCAGATGTTCTCTGTGCCCATTGAAGCTTAGCACCAGGGGGTCCAGGTCAAATACAGACTTCCTTTTTATTTGTTTAGCAGTCACTTTATGACTCCCTGTTCCCCTTTGGAATCCTTAATGAGCCTTTATGGGCAGTTTTATTTTTCCATATGCCCCTAACTCCTGCCATTCTGAAGTCGCCATTTCAGTACGGGAGCATGTGGCTGAGTGAGCCGTCTGACCCAGGCCTTCCGGAAGAGCTCATTGAAGTGTGATGTCATATCGTATTGAGCCCCCTTCTTTAGGGCTTGTTCTTCCTCTTGAAAATATAAATGTCTTTTTTAGAAAAATTGTTATCTTCCTTTTTTTCTACAGGCAGTTAATTTAAAAAGTTAAATGAATTGGCAATTTACAACAGCAAAAAAATTTCTAATGTTTGTAGATGTTCTCAGTACAGTCTGATTCTCCTCTCTGTCCCAGGAGAATAATAGGGTGTGAGGTTCTGGACTGCCCTGCAACTTAGAAGGGGGAATTACCGTTTTCATTCAAGGCAGCCAGATGGGAACTCAGGGAGGAGCAAGTCTTCGTGAGCTTAGAGAGACCGCGAGGTGAGACAGGATAGTCCCGGATGGTGTATTCACGCCAGAGCTCGTCACTGTCCACACGACACAACAAAACAAAGACCAAAGTGAAAAAACAAAGAAGCTAAAAGCAGAAGCAATACCTAAAACGGTTTTCTCCGATTAACCTGCAGTGTCTGGTTCCCTCTGCTACCATGTCTGTCTGATCCTCGGGACATTTTGTGACTTTTATCCCTTGACAATAGGCTCTTCTGAACTTTGTTATTTTTCTTTTCCAGTTTTCGTACTTAGAGAAGCTCCTGTTGGTTCACGGTGCCTGGAGCTACAATCGGGTGACCAAATGCATATTGTACTGCTTCTACAAGAACGTGGTCCTCTACATCATTGAGGTAAGCAAGGTGTACTTTTTGCTTGAAGAGGAAGGCCTTTTCCTGAGGGCATCTTTGGGTCGTTTTGAGAAAGGATTTTGTTAATGTAAAAATTTTTTAAAGGTGCTGCTGTGGGGTGTTGAACCCTGTGACGCATATAACCTCTTTGCAGCTGGAGGCACCTTCCAGATCAAGGTCTTCCTGTTGAGTCACCAAAGCCAGGAGTCCGCACCTCTCTCCTCTATATCCTCCCAGCTCATGGTTCAGCAAGTTAAAGGAGGAATCACAAAAGCCTCATAGCTCTGAAAAGTACATGAAATCAGTCTTCTCCCTTTGTTGATCTTGAATAAATCCTCAAGATAATTACTGAAGTAGGTAGGAGGAAGAATTCCGATTTTATAGGTGGGATAACAGGCTCGTCCACATTAGGGGACCTGCTGCAGGTCTGAGCAGCCAGGGCAGAAAAGACCAGACCTGCATGTGACCCTGGGGACCAGGCCTGCACACCTGCCCATTTACTTCCCTGAGTGGCTCCTCCCCAGCCTGTGGGACTCGGGCTTCCTGTAGTCTGTCAGCAGCTGTAGATGTTCTGTACCCCAGCATTATTAAATACTTGAGTTACGGCATCATATGGCTGCAAGGGATCTTCAGAGGTTTCCTAGGAGTTGCAGGCAAATATTTGTCTGTCTTTTGCTGTAAAATGTCTAGGGAAGGGAGATTCCACGACCTGCTTTATTGAACTACATTCTAATGGGATGTGGAGTCTGGAGCAATTGCTGCCTTCCCATTAAAAGCATCAAAGAAGGGTGGAGAGAGGAGCAGGGCTTCCTAACTCCATTCAGGCGTTTTCTCGCTCCACCAGCATAATAGTCACCTCAGCCAGAGGAACCTGTGCATGGCACTTGGGCCTGTTCAGGGTCAGGCACAGATCCTGCTTTTTCAGGGTAGCGCTGGCCCTGTCCCCACCCCCTGCCCCAACGGGAGCTAAGCTGCTGTGCCAACAGCCTAGCTAACGGTATGCTTCCTCGCCCATGATTAGTAGCCAGGAAGTCCTGCAACTGGATGAATTCCTTTGCCCCAATGAAATGATAAATGTCTTTGGCTAAAGTTAACACCTTGTGCTTTACCTGTTTATCTTACCATGGGTGAATACATTTTTTATTGCGTTTTGAGAAAGTGCCCTGCAGGATTATGTATAGAAGAAAAAAAGTGGAGCTCAAAGACTTGTCCTTGGGAGACTTAGGAAGTCGTCAGAGCTCCGGTTCCATGTCTTTCCTGCCTGCCTGTGCTTTTGCCCACAGGAGCAACCCCCCCAGGACTGACACCTCTCCCCCCTGGCCTGCTGCCCTGCCCTTGGGAAGCCCCGGCAGCATTGTGCTTCCAGCCCTCAGCTGCCTGTCCCTCTCAGGAGAGAATCATTCCTGCCCCCTACCTGCTTGTTTTTTCAACGACCTCATGAAAACAGCATTTTGATTTAGGATTATTTTTTTTTTCTGCAACGCACCCCTTGTAGCGCTGAAGTCCAGGCGCTCAGGATGACTCCCGCAGATGTTCTCTGTGCCCATTGAAGCTTAGCACCAGGGGGTCCAGGTCAAATACAGACTTCCTTTTTATTTGTTTAGCTAGTCACTTTATGACTCCCTGTTCCCCTTTGGAATCCTTAATGAGCCTTTATGGGCAGTTTTATTTTTCCATATGCCCCTAACTCCTGCCATTCTGAAGTCGCCATTTCAGTACGGGAGCATGTGGCTGAGTGAGCCGTCTGACCCAGGCCTTCCGGAAGAGCTCATTGAAGTGTGATGTCATATCGAATTGAGCCCCCTTCTTTAGGGCTTGTTCTTCCTCTTGAAAATATAAATGTCTTTTTTAGAAAAATTGTTATCTTCCTTTTTTTCTACAGGCAGTTAATTTAAAAAGTTAAATGAATTGGCAATTTACAACAGCAAAAAAATTTCTAATGTTTGTAGATGTTCTCAGTACAGTCTGATTCTCCTCTCTGTCCCAGGAGAATAATAGGGTGTGAGGTTCTGGACTGCCCTGCAACTTAGAAGGGGGAATTACCGTTTTCATTCAAGGCAGCCAGATGGGAACTCAGGGAGGAGCAAGTCTTCGTGAGCTTAGAGAGACCGCGAGGTGAGACAGGATAGTCCCGGATGGTGTATTCACGCCAGAGCTCGTCACTGTCCACACGACACAACAAAACAAAGACCAAAGTGAAAAAACAAAGAAGCTAAAAGCAGAAGCAATACCTAAAACGGTTTTCTCCGATTAACCTGCAGTGTCTGGTTCCCTCTGCTACCATGTCTGTCTGATCCTCGGGACATTTTGTGACTTTTATCCCTTGACAATAGGCTCTTCTGAACTTTGTTATTTTTCTTTTCCAGTTTTCGTACTTAGAGAAGCTCCTGTTGGTTCACGGTGCCTGGAGCTACAATCGGGTGACCAAATGCATATTGTACTGCTTCTACAAGAACGTGGTCCTCTACATCATTGAGGTAAGCAAGGTGTACTTTTTGCTTGAAGAGGAAGGCCTTTTCCTGAGGGCATCTTTGGGTCGTTTTGAGAAAGGATTTTGTTAATGTAAAAATTTTTTAAAGGTGCTGCTGTGGGGTGTTGAACCCTGTGACGCATATAACCTCTTTGCAGCTGGAGGCACCTTCCAGATCAAGGTCTTCCTGTTGAGTCACCAAAGCCAGGAGTCCGCACCTCTCTCCTCTATACGGCGCCGCCTTCCTGCCCACTGGCCCTGATGGAGGGCTGAGGGCCCCTCCCATCCCAGGGCTCCTCCGGGCCCTCCCTCTTCCTTGGCGGCCTTGGCTTGAAGAGACTGCCACTCATACCCTCTCCCAGGGGGGTCAGAGGCGGAGCAGCAGGTGTTCACACCCCTAATGGCAGGCACTGAGGCGTTTCTGGGCCAGCCGGTCAGTTTGTCCTTTCCCAGAATGAAAGGGCTTGATTTCTTGCTGAACTGCTCTTGGCACCTGCAGGTTTCCTGAGCCTTCCGTCCTTGCCTCTGGGATGTTTGGACAGTGCTACTCAAATGGGGAAGGTGTGGGCGTGAGTGGGGAGTCAGCCAACAAGGTGATTAAAAATACTGCAGTGAACTCAGAGTTGTCAGGCTGTTTTTGAAAAGGTTCCTTCAGTTACAAGTAAAGTAAATGTGCTTGTTGGAGGTTCTAGCAGGGGAGGGATAGAAAAAGTGGAGGGGCACGTTACGTCTGATCTCAGTGGAGTACCTGCCACCTCGGTCCTCCTTTTTAAGAACAGCTCTGTTACCGAGACGTGGCTTTTGAGGCCACCGTGACTAATCAATTTCCAGATGTGTTTAGGAAAGAGGAAGCAGCCAGTCTCTCTACGGAGAAATGGAAAAGCAGCATTAATTGTGGAGCCTATTAGTATCTCATTATGTTATGGGCGATTTTGTGTCTGATTTCTCAACTCTTGGTAGAATTAATCACCAAGGCATAGTCAACTTTTTCTTAAAATATTCTTAAAATCTTCCTTAAATACTCAGCTCAAATAATTTGACAAGCGCTTTGCCAGTGTAACTGTGACTAACCATTTCATGACCAAACTGACTGCTCTTCCCTATTGAATATTCAGGTCAAACAGGTTCACGTCACTCTGTAACGAAACAACTAACAAGGAAATTTTCCCAAGTTGTGCAGGTTGTTCACTGCACAAGACTGACCAGCCAATGGGGACATGGGGATGAAATGGAGGAAAACCTGAAAAAAAAGAAACGCATTTTTCTAATTTGTACCAAGGGCCACCTCCTTGCCGTGTGCGGTGATACTCACCTCAGTGCAGTCCTGATAAGAACTTTTAGATGCTCTATATAATGGGCTTTGTAGTTTCTGTCTTCTTTCCATCTGCATTTTTACAATTCCCTTTTGGCACTCAAAGATGATTGTCCCCCTTCCTGTGGCATTTTTGCATCTGTGATAGGAGTCACTCCTTAATGTCACGTGGGGTCATAAGTAATTCCTGCTGGGGCTGAAGTAAGGAAGAAGGGTGGGTGGGAAGCCCTGTCGCCACGTGTCATCCCAAGTATCTCACATGCACCATGAGCTCTGAGAGCTGCTGGGTTCACCAGGCTTCTTAATAATCTGTTTTTTCTCACAATCAGCAAATTACAGATAGTCTAGACTTCTTATCACAACCTTCTACACAAGGCTCCCAGCCCTCTGCTTTCCAGAGCACCCTCTGGGGCCCTTCCCAGTCATTTACACCTACTATCTTGCCATCTGTTTTTAAACCTCAAGTGGGCTGAGGATGAGAAGAGTACAATTTTAGTCTGTCTGAAAAACTCCATTTAGATTGAGGTCCTGAAAATGCCATGTGAGTACCTTAAATTAATTTTCAGTTGTAGCTGAGCAACAGTAATGTTAAAGGGTCTTCCATCAATAGCCTTTGAAACATTCTTTACAAAATTAATTAATTAACTAAAAGTCTCTACCACTCTGTGCCTGATTTTCTACTTAGCATTTCCAGGACATATTAATTGGAAAAACCGAAAAAACAAAATCTTTGTCTGAGCCTAGACAGTAAAGTGTAGACTTAATGTTTACAATTGCCAAATAACCTCTGCGGCATCAACATGCACTTCACATTTTAAAAATAGGCAAGTACTACCTGCCATCTGCTATTTCAATGGATTTTGAACTGAAAAGATCAAAAATGGTCATAATTTGGTTTCCACCTTTGCAATGAATAGTTTGTGTTCTAGAAGTTGCTTTGTAGTTAATTCCTTAAGTGAGAATGAATTAAACATATCACACATTTCATGGTTGTCTTATAACTCAAGGAGAAACTTTACAACAAGCCAGTATGTTCTCATCTCAAGTGTCCTCTGATATACGTAATGATCAATCACTAAATATACAGTCTAAAAGCAATTTGACAGATTAAAAAAATACACACATGTCTGCACACACACACACACACACACACACACACTTATATAGCTATTATGAGGATCATTATACAATTTGAGTTACCAATAAAAGTTGTATGGAAGA